GCCAGTTGCTGTCTCCCTTGCTGACCCCTCTGGGGGTCCAGTCATTGCGACCTCCTCCACTGTCCTTCCTTGTCCTGCGGTTCCGTCGGGCACACTGTCAGGTCTCCACCTCCCCTCGTTCTCTACGAACTTGGTGGCAGGCTGTGCGCTCCAGGACGGGGGTGTCCACCAGTTCACCCCTGCCTACGAGCGCGTGACACACTGCACGTGTGCTCGGACGGGCCGTCACCTGGCTACCTTCACTAGGCAGCCGGGGTCGGACCTGTACACACTGACCACTGAGTCCCCTCAGGTAGCTGCGTCTGCGTCTGCGTCAGGTCAGCTGTCTGCCCCCTGCTCGTGTCGCTCTCTGGCGCACGAGACTGTCCTCTGGCACCACCGCCTTGGTCACCCGTCAGTGCAGCGCCTTCGTGCCATGCACAAACGGTACCTTGTCTCTGGTCTTCCTCGGGTACTCCCTCCCCTCCCACCCTCGCCTGCTCCTCCCTGTCTTCCTTGTGTCGAGGGGCGGCAGCGCGCCGCTCCTCACTCCTCCTCGTTTCCCCCGACGACTGCTCCCTTGCAGACGCTCCACATGGACGTGTGGGGCCCAGCCCGCGTCCGTGGACAGGGTCAGGAGAGGTACTTCCTGATCGTTGTTGACGACTGCTCGCGCTACACCACGGTCTTCCCCTTGCGCACCAAGGGTGAGGTCCCTGATGTTTTGATCCCTTGGATCCGCGCTTCTCGTCTCCAGCTCAGCGAGCGGTTCCGCTCGGACTTTCCTGTCCTGCGTCTGCACTCAGACAGAGGTGGTGAGTTCTCCTCCGACCTCTTGGCAGCCTACTGTGCGGAGCACGGCATCCGCCAGTCGTTCACGCTTCCCGCCTCTCCACAGCAGAATGGGGTTGCTGAGCGCCGCATTGGCTTGGTCATGGAGGTCGCTCGTACCTCCTTGATCCATGCGGCTGCCCCCCACTTTCTGTGGCCGTTTGCGGTCCGGTACGCTGCGCATCAGCTCAACCTCTGGCCCCGTGTCTCCTTGCCGGAGACCTCGCCTACACTGCTGTGGACGGGGGAGGTTGGCGATGCGTCGCGCTTCCGGGTCTGGGGATCTCGAGCTTTTGTCCGCGATACGTCCGCGGACAAGCTCTCCTCCCGCGCTGTTCCTTGTGTCTTCCTTGGCTTTGTCCCCGACGCGTCTGGTTGGCAGTTTTACCACGCCACCTCGCACCGTGTCCTGCCCTGTCAGGACGTCACTTTTGACGAGTCGGTGCCCTACTACCGCCTCTTCCCCTACCGCACTGCCCCGCTCCCCCCCCCGCCTCTCTTCCTCGCGCCAGGTGCTGCTGTGGTAGACCCCCTCCCCCCTCAGGGTGCCGCTCCCTCAGGTGTGTCCCAGGTAGACCCGGTTGAGCCTGTCGAGGTAGCTGTCGACTCTCGTCCTGCTAGGGGTGCTGAGCCTGAGCGTGCGGAGCCTGGGGGTGCGGAGCCTGGGGGTGCGGAGCCTGGGGTTGCGGAGTCTGGGGGTGCTGAGCCTAGGGGTGCGGAGCCTTCGGGTACTGAGTCTGGGAGTGCTGAGTCTGGGGGTGCTGAGCCTGGGAGTGCTACACCTGGAGGAGCTCTCTCCTCAGAGCAATTGCGTGAGTGGTACTTACAGTACTGCAGCCTCAGGAGGGGTGCTTCTGGAGCTAGGAGCGCTGCTGGAGCTGGTGCTAGTGCTTCCCCTCCTAGGCGGGCGCTGCCCTCTCCCCAGCAGCTCCGAGAGTGGTACGCTCGGCACTGCAGTCTCCGGAGTGGCGCTCCTCGAGTCGCGGACCCCGGTGCTGCTGGCGCTGCTGGAGGTGTTGCTGGTGCTGGTGCTGCTGGAGGTGCTGCTGGTGCTGGAGCTACTGGAGCTGCTGGAGGTGCTGGTGCTGCTGACGCTGCTGGAGGTGCTGCTGGTGCTGGAGCTACTGGAGCTGCTGGAGGTGCTGCTGCTGCTGGCGGTGCTGCTGGCGCTGGAGCTACTGGAGCTGCTGGAGGTGCTGCTGCTGCTAGCGGTGCTGCTGGCGCAGCTGGAGGTGCTGCCGGTGCTGGTGCTGCTGGAGGTACTGGTGCTACTGACGTTGCTGGAGGTGCTGCTGGTGCTGGAGCTGCTCGTGCTGCTGGAGCTGCTGGAGCCGCTAGTCCTGGAGGTGCTCGTACTAGAGGTTCTGGAGCTGCTGGGACTGGGCCTGCTGAGGGGGTTGGAGCTGGAGGTGCTGAGCGGCCGCGGCCGTACTACGTTCCGCTCCTTCAGCAGGTTCTTGGTCTCCCGCCCTCTACTGGTCCTTCTCCTCCCCTACTGAGTCCACCGTCTGTCCAGTCGCAGTCACAGTTACAGTCTGCCTCTCCCCTGCCTGCTCCTTCTCCTTACACTGCGCCGACGAGTAGTCTTACGGAGCGTCGTGAGCCTGAGTCTCGTCCTCCGTCGCCTGAGTCTAGTCCTGCGTCTTCTGAGTCTAGTCCAGACTCGCCTGTCCGCACTGCCCGCACTGGTCGTCGTGCTCCACGTGAGCGTCCTCCTCCTGTCCTTGGCACTCACTATATGACCCTGCGTCCTTCCACTGCTCCACAGCGCGTCCCTCTGCCGTCTCCTCCTGCGTCCTCTCTTCCTGACGTTGCTGACCCGCCGTCAGACCTTACTCGTGCTGCCAGTCCTACTGTCGCGCGTCTCCTTGCCACGGTTGTCACTGACCCTACCTTTGAGTCCTCTGCTGCGTCAGCTCTAGTCGCTGAGCTTGTTGACTTTGCTGCCGCCTGTCGTCTAGACTACGCCGCCAGCCTTGTTGCTGAGTCTGAGTCTGTCTGTCCTCCGTCCGTCGGGGGTGAGTGTGCTCTTGGCACGGACGTCCTTGAGGACAGACAGGAGGAGTTTGAGTGCTTTGCTGCTGCTTTACCTCATCTCGTGTCCATGCTGATTGCCCCTGAGGGAGACCCGGATGCACCAGACATCCCGACCCCACGCTCCTATGCAGAGGCGATGGAGGGTCTCTACTCCTCTCAGTGGCAGACAGCCATGGACGCAGAGATGGCTTCCTGGAAGTCCACAGGCACCTACGTCGACGAGGTTCCCCCACCTGGGGCGAACATCGTCAGTGGCATGTGGATTTTCAGGGTGAAGCGGCCGCCGGGTTCTCCGCCTGTCTTCAAGGCGCGTTACGTTGCACGAGGCTTCAGTCAGCGAGAGGGAGTTGACTTCTTCCATACCTTCTCCCCGACCCCGAAGATGACCACTCTTCGGGTTCTGCTGCACGTCGCTGCTCAGCGTGACTACGAGCTCTACTGCCTTGACTTCAGCACTGCGTTCCTACAGGGCACCCTGCACGAGGAGATCTGGCTGCGCCGCCCACCTGGTTTCACTGGGTCGTTCCCTCCTGGTACCCAGTGGAGCCTCCGGCGGCCAGTCTACGGTCTCCGCCAGGCGCCCGTGAGTGGCACGACACACTGAGGACTACTCTTGCTGGTCTTGGGTTTGCTCCTTCTACTGCTGACCCGTCGCTGTTTCTACGCACCGACACCACTCTGCCGCCGTTCTACGTTCTCGTGTACGTAGACGACTTGGTCTTTGCTACTGCTGACACTGAGGCACTCGCCCACGTGAAGTCGGAGCTGCAGAAGAGACACAGACCTGGGTGAGTTGACAAGCTATCTTGGCTTGCGGATCACCCGGGACAGAGCACAGCGCACCATCACCTTGACTCAGTCACACATGGTGCAGCAGGTCCTTCAGCGCTTCCGCTTCACGTACTCCTCGCCTCAGCCCACTCCTCTGCCTACCGGTCACTCGCTCTCAGCTCTGCCTTCGGATGAGTCGTAGAGCCGAGTGGCCCGTATCCAGAGCTTGTGGGCTGCCTCATGTACCTGATGACCTGCACTCGACCTGACCTAGCCTACCCTCTTAGCATCCTAGCACGCTATGTCGCTCCTGGCCGTCACCGGAAGGAGCACATGGATGCAGCTAAGAGGGTGTTGCGCTACTTGTGCAGTACGTCGGGCATGGGGCTTGTGCTTGGAGGACGGCGCGACGTTGTCCTCACTGGACACTCAGACGCTTCTTGGGCTGACGACCAGGCTACACAGCGGTCGTCTCAGGGTTACACCTTCAGCCTTGGCTCTGGCTCAGTTTCTTGGCGTTCTACACGCTCTTCCTCTGTTCTCAGCTCCAGTTGTGAGGCTGAGATCTACGCCACAGCCATGGCTGCCCAGGAGCTTCGCTGGCTCACCTACCTGCTGACCGACCTGGGAGAGCGGCCTCGTTCTCCTCCAGTGCTGTACGTCGACAACAAGGCCGCCCTTGCCTTGTGTCAGGAGCACAGACTGGAGCACAGAACGAAGCACATCGCTCTGCGCTACTTCCTTGCTCGAGAGCTGCAGCAGCGTGGTCAGCTTCGTCTTTCGTACGTGGCCACTCGGGCCAACACTGCTGATGTGTTCACCAAGGCGCTTCAGCCTTGTGATCATCAGCATTTCTGTACTGTTCTAGGCCTTGTGCCTACTGTCCCTCACTTGCTCACTTCTTGACTTTGCTTGTACTGTGATCTCTATATATATACCTGCATGCTTACACTTGCTAGGTTGTGATCACTGTACCTCTTGTTTATTATCAAACTGCATGTGAACTGGTCTTGTGACCGCTTGCTTGTGCTCGGAATTTGTGTGGTATCCTTGAGATCCACCCTGATCTTTGCTTTGCTTTGCTTTGACTGGTCTTGTGACCCTCTGGTTGTCTCCCACTTCGCCTATGGGGTTGTGTCAAACATTGTATGTTTACATTGTGTAGGCTATAGTGGGTTTAGCCTTAGGGGGTACACAAACTTAGGGTTTCCTTCTTGTACCCAACTTTGTGCTAGTTCATCCATTCCTGTTTCGTACTTTCTAACATGCATCGCCCACCGGTATGTGTTGCTCAAATATACCCGTACAAGTCACTTTGTGTTTTAAAGCTTGTATCAGCTGTGGTTGTCACATCTTCTTGCGTTGATACGTACACGGGACTTATGTGGTTTACCGTGTCACTGCATTCCCCACCGCTTGCTTGTGCTTGCAGTGAGGCACTTGCTGCAAAGGATGCAGCAGAGAGCCTGCCCGTGTTCAACATGATCGACACCACCATCCGTGCTATCGCCGAGCACCTGGGCAGAAGTGGGCCATGGCACCAGCGCTTCAAGGACCTCCAAGAGGTTTTCACCGAGACGTTCCTTGAGCTGCAGGGCATTCACAACGTCAGATGGCTGTCTCGTGGTGATGTCATCGCCAGGTTTGTGGCGGTCCTGCCCGCGATCATCACCAGTCTCAAGGAGTGGAATCCGACGCTGTACAAGGTGGTGACCTCGTACAGGTTTCACTTTCTCCTTCTCTTCCTGTCCGACGTCCTTGACCAGCTGAACGTCTTGAGCAAGGTGTTCCAGCGACGGCAGGTACGTTTGTGGTCCCATACCCCGCCCTGCCTGGTTACATTTCTTGCATCCTTGTTGGGACCGTTTACATGGTTGTACTTACTTCCTTTTCCACTTATTTTGTGCCTTGCTTCCCCCCCAGCTGGATCTGTCTGCTGTGCATGCGCAGATCAGACGGACAACAAGCCATCTCGAGGCTCGATACGTCGACTGCGGTGACGAGTTTGGTGGCGGTCTCAGCCCCAAGCTTTCACCATGGCTGGAGAAGCATGGCCCCGACGGCACATGGGACGTCTGCATTGAGGGCGTGGACTCAGATGGCCAACCGACCACCTTCGACTTCACGCTGCATGAAGATCGGCTGGACGACTATCCTGGCCCCGGGCACCACGATGCATGCCTGGACATCTGCACCGAGTTCGCGGAGCTCATAGTGGCCAACCTGCTGGATCGGTTGGGGGACCTTGACAGGCTGTCGGGTGTGCGCATGTTCACTCCCGATAGCTGGCCGCACGACAGGCATGAACGCCTCGCAAAGTGTCAGGAGTGGCTGGAGTCGCTAATCACTCTCTTTCGGGCGGATGAAAGCGAAGAAATCGTGCCTGGTGAGCCAATAAGTGGTGCATTTGCATGTTGATCACCCTCCTCCTCTGCAGAATGCCACTCCTGTGCCTTCTGGCCAACCTGCTATCTTGCTCCTCCTCTCCTCCTCTGCCCACCCTTGATCCCCTTGTCCCTTCTCTCTCCCCCTGACTTCGTTCTCCTGCTCAGGCTACTCCACTAGCGCATGCCTCACTCCTCCTTCCTTACCCATCTCCTTTGCTGTCCTCACCCCACCTTCTTCTTGCCCTTATCTTGCTTGTTCTCCTGTTCGGACCCTTATCTTCTTGCCCTTATCTTGCTTCTTGCCCTGATCTGTCTCTTGAACGTTTACTGTCTCTAAATCTGCTCTGTATGCTTGTTTCCAATCTTGCTACAGGCATAGACAAGAAGAAGGCAGTCAAGGAGCTGCGGCTGCTTATTCCCGTCCTCGCACGTGCACCGAAGAGTGAGCGCGGCTTCCACACGGGGCTCACCGCCATGCTCAAGACCTCGGACTGGCAGGTGCACTACCCGAACCTGGTGCGGTTGTGGGTGGCGGTGGCGGTCTTGCCGCTGAGCACCGTTGAGTGCGAGCGCGGTTTCTCGCGCCAGAACATCATCAAGTCCTGGCAACGAGGCAGCCTCAAGGATGCACGGCTCAGCGACTTGATGTGCATGTCGTTGATGAAGTACGAGCCCAACTGGGACGAGATCGTCGACATCTGGCGAAACTACAGGAAGAGAAAACCCTTCAACACCTGCACCGTAGCCAGGCAGGAGGAAGACAGGAGGAGGGTGAAGGAGGCGGAAGAGGCTGGAGGAGACGAGGACAACCCGCTTGATGTGGATGATGATGATGATGAGGCTAGGGCTAGGGACGCGGAGGCTGATTGCTGGTGTTAGATAGGTGAGGTGAGGTGGTGTGGTACAGCATGCATGCATGCACTGCAAGCAATGCACCTAAGAAACTGCTAGCAAAGTGACATAGTATTAAAAGTTTTTTCGTTAGCAAAGTAGCTAGCAAAGTAACATAGTATTAAAAGTTTTTTCGTTGTTTCTGCCTTTTAAAATGTAGCTAGCAAAGTAACATAGTATTAAAAGTTTTTTCGTCCGCACTAATACTGATTAGAAAGTTTTTTTACAAGTACTAACACTGATAACAAAGTTTTTTTTTAGCACTAACACTGATTTATCAGGGTTTGTTTTGTAACCGACCCTGACAGAAAGTTTTTTTTTGGGGACCAACACTGACGAATCAGGGTGCCCCAAAACCAATCTGAGGGCCTGTTTGAGATACCTTATAACGAGGCAGAGAGCTACCGGTACAAGGTACCAGAGGACTGGATTTACCCTGGCTTGTCTTTCTCACAGTTACAGTCTCTATAGAATAATACGGTACCATTTCTAGAATCATGGTTAAAGTTCGGACAGGTACCTAATTTCCACCCTGCCTTGCTCAGCAGGCCAAGCACGGTGCAGTAAAATGGGCCGATATAATTTTCAGTCACAGTACCAGAGATTCGGAGCTTCTCAATCGCAGCTTTGAAAATAATTCCGTAAATATATTTTCAGTCCCGGATACGCCCATGCATGTCCTACACGTAAGGTACTCTTGCAAAACTGCGGTATGGCACGCGCTGTGCTTATCTCTGAACGATTACAGCATTTGTACACAAATATGCAAAGCCAAACAACATCAAGGTAGTAACAACCTATGGTAGCTGCTGGATCGACCTATGGTTAGTCTTGGTACGACTTGAGTCCAACCCTTATGTAAAGATCGATTGGCACCGGCTCTCGCCCAAGCATCTGGCAGCCCTGGAGATTCAGCACTCGCAGAATCTTCAAGTCAGACAGCTGTTGCGGCAAGGACTGAAGCTGTGCACAGTCACTCAAGTCCAGCTCTCTGAGTCGTGCCAAATGGTAGAAGTTGGGAGGGAGGAAGGGAAGAGCCGTCTTGCTAACATCCAATTTGTGCAGGTAAGTGAGGCTGGTGAAAGAACCGGGCAGGCTTGTCAGGGAGGAGCAGTTATGCAGGCTAAGGTCACCCAATCTTGACAAGGAAGAGATGGTGTCAGGAAGATGGGTCAGGCTTGGAGCTTCAATATGAAGAGAGGTGAGTTGCACCAGCCGTGTCACACTTTCTGGAATCTCCGTCAAAGATTCTGCTCCTTCCACATGCAGCTGTCGCAGCTGAGGCAGAGCAGAGCCGATATCTTGAGGCAGGTGTTGCAATGCCTTGGCATTTGAGATGCGTAGATCACGGAGGCATGGAAGGAACCCGAGCAGGAGTGGAAACCCTGTTTGTTCAGCGCCCAGGCGCATCTCCAATTGCTCTATCTGAGAGAGGCAACGGCTGGTCGCTGGTGCGTCCATGATGGTAACCTGGATCATGGTCAGCTTCTTGAGGTTCGGAGTCGTTGACAAGCCTGTAAGAATGATGCTGCTGGTGTCGTTTCCCAAGCTCAAGGTTTTCAACGACCTTGGCAGAGATTCTGAAATAGCCTGCAAAAGAACACATCCCGTCAGATCCAGCTCCTGCAGGCATGAGAGGTTTTCCAAGGCTCGAGGTGCAGACGCGAGCTTGATACACATGCAGGCCTTGAAGATCTTCAGGCGGCTCAGTTGAGTAATGGATGCTGGCAGTGCTGTCAGCTCATTGCAGCAGCTCAAGGTCAACTCCCGCAGGTCACCAAGATGGCCTGTACCCTCTGGAAGGTTAACAATGGGACACTTGCTGATAACGAGCCGGAAGAGAGATTGCTGAATGACGACGGCAGCTGCTGCAGTTCTTCACAACCGCTCAGCACCAATTCACGGAGATTGGTGAGTTCGCCTATCTCCTCCGGAATCGCCGTCAGCCTTGATCCCGTGATGCTGAACGATTCAAGAGCAGCCAAGCAGGAAATCGCTGCAGGGAGGATGTCAATGCCCACATAATCCATAGATAGCTTCTGAAGCCCTGTGAGTAACCAAACAGAATCGGGGAGTTTCCCCAGCGACAAGCTTCTCAACACCAAGGACTTCAGCCCTGGAAAATGTCCAAGACTCTCGGGCAAGCTGGATATATTGCAGTTGCGAATAGTTAGAATCTCCAATGTGCTGAGACTTGTGAGGGAATCTGGTACCATAATCTCAGTGAAATGACGGCTACCGAAAAGGCAGAGTTCGCGAAGTACCGGGAACCGCTCTCCAAGCTCTTCAGGGGGGATGCTCGGAATACTGCTTAGCAGCAGACGTTGAAGACGGAAACATGGTGATTCTGACGGAAACATCGAAGGGAAGTCAGTATACCCCCGCACGAATCCCAGCGAACGAAGATTTGTCAGTTGACCAAATGAGAAATCCCCCTCGAAACTGTGGAAGAATGTCGCTCCTGGAAAAAACAGGCTGGTCAGATTCGGAAGGTGAGTTAACGGCGACATTTGATGTAACCGCATGTCCAGCTTTTGAATAGAAAGCCTCGTGATAGAAGACAGATTCGCAAAGTTGGGATCCGCCAAAGGCGATATCTCTCCCAGTGATAACGTGTGCAGGCGCGTCAACTGGAAGAAGGAAGCCGGAAGCTTTGTGGTCCAATGGAGGCACTGGAGTGACAGCTGCTCCAAGCGACGACAATGGCGGAAGAGAATGTCCAGCCCAGCTTCCGTGACGGGGTGATCTGATTCGTCATAGTAGTCCATGTCCTCCTCCTCGTCACGGTCAAGGTAGTCGTATGGAGCAATGCCTGTGCCGACATGAAGAGCGGTTAGATTTGGTGACGAAGAGCCGAGAAATGCCAAAAAATCGTCGTCTATCGTTTCCATGCTTCCGTTGCTCAAGTGCAGGCGAGTGAGATTCGGGAAGGACACGAGAACGCATTTGAGGTACTCGCGAGACACCAGACGATTTCGTGAAACGAGAAGCGTTGTGACGGATTCGTGTGCGAGCTCCCGCCAGCGACGGCAGACTGAGGCAATGAGGAGAACGTGAGCGACATCGGCAGAGGCAGGAGGTGTCGAAAAATGCGGGTCAGGCTCTGAGTCTTCGTTTTCCTCCCTACTAGCGTAATCCGAGAGAATCAATGATGAGATCGGCTGGAAAGCGTCGGAATGCCAGAATATCCTGACAAGAACATGGTCAGGAAGACAATGAATCATGGTAGACATTCTCATGTCTTAGGAATGATCTGCTAAATCTCTGGCTTCTGCGATGTCTGATTGACCACCAATGCTAAGCTTGGGAAGGGCTGCCTCTGGAGAGGATCTTGATCAGACAGAGCTGTGCCAGAACTTCGAGCAGAAGTCTTATCAAACAGGAGATGAATATTGAAGTAACCGACCAGAACGGAGTTTCCTACCGTTGGTTGTGTGATGGTCATCACTTTTCGGAGGGAACACCATCCACCCCAGGGCGGGTTCCTCACTTGAGAGTGGCTTGAACGAAACCCTCCTTGCCTCTCGCTTGTGTCATGCACGCAAGTGGTAGGGTGGGTGACATTTCGTTCGAGATGCACAATTTCGATGTTTCTGTACGAACCTACATAATCTGATTGATCCTACTGGTTGCGGGCAAAATTGGAAAGCTGGTAACCCCATCAGTTGGATCGTGACTCATGAGTGAAGCAAACCAAGCAAACGTCATTCACACCTCTCAACCAAGCTCATTGAACTGCTGCACCCTCGTTTGTGAGGTGTAGCAAGATTTGGAGGAGGCAGCTGCTTGGCGCTGCGCCGTGTCATTCCCGCCAAGCTGACACCAACTTCCATGTCAAAGTTGGCGCCACCAGGAAGTTTGTTTCCCATTTGAATTTCCTGTCGTGATGATTTGCACCAAGTTTTTTGTACCCCTTGCTGCACATTCCTATGCCACTTATGTAGGATTTGTGATAAGAGAACACACATTTTACAATGGGTTGGAATAGGTATTTTACTACCAACATAGAGCATCTGATTAGGTGACCTCTAAATACGCTCCAAACCATATTGAGTATCTACTGCGTAAAATGCAAGTTTTCATGCCGCCTAAACCTGAAAGATACTTACGGTAAAGCATGGCTTTGATTGGCGGAAGTCATAAATAACTCTTCCATATATTATTTTGTTGCGGTTCCAAGTCAACAAACTTGGATGGATCCGCCTCAAACTCAAACTTTGTATGCGTGTATTGACAAAAAAAAAACAAAGAAATGGCAATAAGTTTGAGAAAGTTAGGTCCGAAAGTGAAGGGGAAGGCCGGTCGGTGGAGCGAGAGAAGAATAGAAGGTACAGTATGGTAGTAATCGTGGACAGAGGTGGAATGGATGACTTGCATCACCTGCTGCTGGTGCTGCTGAACCAGCAGATGCCTGCAT